ACCTTGAACATAGGGCCTTACTAGTTTGAGCACGGTTCTGTTAAGGGTTCTTTATTGGGGCTCTTTTGAGGTTTAGGGGTTTAGGGCTTAATGGCTCTTTTAAGACTGCCTTACGAGGGAATAACCAGGGCCCAATATGAGGGCCCTCGAATGTAAGAATTGGGTTTGGGTGTGTACCAGACCGTGAGATCGCCAATACTGCTTCTCAGGGCTCCTGAATCAAGTTATTCTGACATGTACCCCAAAACCCTTTTCCTATATTAATTAAAGGGCTGTATACCCCATCCGACATCAATCGAAGGTGATCCGCTTTGATGGGAGGTGTATGAACCTTGCAGCACCCTGGAGCGCACATTCGGGCATACCTGGGGAGCTTCTGGGTCGGGTTTATGGTTTTAGGGCTTACATAGGTGTTTAGGGTTCAGGGGTGTAGGGTTTAGGGTTTAGGATTTACAGTTTAGGGTTCAGGGTGTAGGGCTTAAGGTTTAGGGTTTAGGCGTTTATAGGGTTCAAGGGTATAAGGTTTAGGGGCTTATGGTGTAGGGCCCAGGAGTATCGAAGGGCTTCTTTCGCACGAGGTTTTCCAGGCTTGCGGGCATTTAGGAGCGTTTTGGTTTGTACGGGTTGCAAGTAGGGTGTCAGGCCCAGGTCAAGTCGAAGGAGTTCAGAGAAACCCCGTTGTCCCTAGACTAGACCGCCTTTGCCTAATCTTTATATTGACCGTAACCCTTAAAGGGATTCGGGATTCCACATATCGTTCCCTACACTGCAATAACCAAAAAGGGTTCTAACAAGGTGTAAAAGCCTCCATGTTAGTCGCATAGTTCGCGTCTCCTTTTTCAGAGGGTCCAAGTACCCAAAATAGTAGGGTTTCATGGACCAAAAGTCATTCAGAAGAGGAAATGTGTGACCTAAAACCCTACTATTGTGGGTGCTTGGACCCTTTCCTTGGGATCCGAAACCCTACCGTTTTCAGGATTCTACCCTCTGGGTTCAGAACCTACTATTTTGTAGGGTTTTGGGGCCAGAGGTCCGTGTCTGTGTTGAGGCCAACACCGCCTCCCAGAGCTGGGCGGACTTGGGAAACCTCGCGGCCAGCCGCATGGGAGCCTCGGTTTAGGGTTTAGGACTTAGGGTTCAGGGTTAAAGGTTTAGCGTTTAGGGCTTTAAGGTTTAGGGTTTAAGGTTCAGGATTTAAGGTTTAGGGTTTAGGGTTTAAGGTTGAGGATTGAATGCATGGGAGCCTTGTACTGCGACTCAGTACTTCTCTGCGTGGTTCGATTGGTTATTGTTTCGATTCAATTGTAGTGTTTTCTGTGTTGCGGGTTGCTTGGTTTTGTTGTGTCTTTGCCAGTGTTTTCTGTGTTGTGGCTTGATTGGTGTTGTTCTGCTTGTTTTTCAGTTGTTTTGTTTGTTTTTGTGGTTGCTTGTTTGTTTGTTTGGTCTGTCGGGGTTCGGTGATTGAGATTTGGCGGAAGCCTTGAGGCCCGAGGCCTTAGCCCCCTTAAGCTCGCCATCCTAAGCCCCACGCACACCCCTAAACTCATCTTGAAGCTTGAGCACCAGGGGACCGGTTTGTTTATGAATTTGCGTCCAAGGTCAGTTGTTCGAAGATCATAGTTTGGGGTTTAACATTTTCCCGTGTTTGTTTGCATGTTTTGCTTATAGTTTAGGGGTTTAGGGTCCTTTAGGGTTTAAGCGTTGACAATCGTCGGTCGGTTTAGGGTTTCCCTGTCGAGGCAGAGCTCAAGACCACGGCTGCAAATGCGTCTGAAGTCAACGAAGCCACCCTTCGAAAACGCTGTATGTTACAAAGCCCTGGGATGAACGCCCTTTACCATCTAGATGTCTGGGTGGGCTCTTTTTCCTTTGCTATGGTCTTCGGTTCCTCATAGAACTACCCAATACCAAAAAGGGAGCCCCTGTTTTGGTTCGATTGCTGGCGATCCTAGACATCATACTCCACCCTATCATCGCTTCAACCGCTTCGAAGGTGGCCGTTCTTGAAAACTGAGGTCTCCATGTGACGGAGGTTTACCCTATTAACCCTGAATACCCTACCTTATTATGATTTCTTTATATATTTCCTTGAAAATATAGGTTCTTCGGGATTAAGGTAGGGTTTAGGGTTTATGGGTCCGGGGCCCCGAGGTCCTTGAAGGGCGTGGGGTGCCGTTTCCGCGGTTTCCGGTGGGCCTAGTCGGGGTGCTAAACCCTGCGGCCCTGGGTTTGCAGTCTTTGGCGTTGGTTGCTGGTGTTGCTTGTTGTTTTAAAGGTTTTGGGTTGGGGTTTAGGGTTTAGGGTTCTTTAGGGTTACGGCTGTGAGAGACGAGATGAAGCAAAACCAGGACGCTTAGATGAAACATCGCTTCAAGTCCCCAAGAAAGCCGTGCAAGGAGATGTGGTCTTTGATCCGAACACGCACATGCCGCTTCGACAGCACCTACCTTGTTAAGGCTCCTTAGGAAGTATTTGTATTTATTTATTTTGTGCATGTAAAACCCAAGAGAATATTAAGCATATAATCTTTATTATGGTTCTAAGTGGGATATAGAAGGGGGCTTGATGATAGCTCCGGTTTTTGGTTTTGTGCTAAAAAACGGAGCAATTTCGACTGCTTTTGGGAAGCCCACCCTTAGCCCCTTTCTGAAGCTCGAGCCAGGAAACCCGACGCCTTCACGCCAAACCTTACACCCCTAAACCCCTGAACCCTAAACTCCAAAAAAAAACCTAAACCCCTAAACCCTAAACGCCTAAAGCCCTAAACCCTAAGCCCTGGATTCTGTGCGCGAGGTCGTTTTGTAAGTTCAGGATCCTCGACCCGACATCCTATCTCTCATATTTGGCTCTCGGTCCTATCTGCTTTATCTACCTAGTAGTAGAGTAGGGAACTTTTAACCTTTTTTCGGTAGTATAGCCCCTATATAATCCCTATATAACCAAAAAGGTTAACCTTTAGTTCCCCATGATACCCGTCTAGCTACCTACCCATCTATGGCTATCGATCTCGACATCTCTCGATCGATCATGGGTCTATTCAACTATCCATCCATCCATCCATCCATCCCTCCGTCCTTCCATCCCTGCAGTTTATCTGTGTATGTATATGTTATATGTTTATATACATATATGTATAAATGTACGCATGTACGCATGTATGTTTAACCCTGACCTTAAATCAAGAACTCCGTGCTCTCAACGCTGCATCCTGAACCTTCTACCCAAAACCAGAATGCGAAATCCGAAGTCCTAGACCCTAAGGCAAATACTTCCCCGATACTCTAAATTCTTAACCCTGTACCCTAACTCAAAAACCCTCAGCGCCATTCTTAGCCAAGAAGTCGTAACCCCATTCTAAACCCTGCATGGAGCCCTTACTTATAAAACCGGAAGGACTTCACAAAGCTCAGAAGTCTTTGGGATCTCCACCCTAAGCCCTACCTGTAGTCTCCATTGTAGTTCCTTTTTTTGGCTAACCAGTTTTATGGTTAGGATCCTATAATAGAGGTTCTGGTTAACCAAAGAAAGGAACTACAATGGAGACTATAGGTAAACCCCTAAACCCCTAATCCCCTAAACCCTAAACCCTAAACCCTACACCCCTAATCCACTAAACCGTCCAAATCCAAGGCTTATGGGGATCGGCCATTCCGCTGCAGGGGTCGGCGTTGGCTCCATCGTCAAGGACGACGGGGTGCGAGCTTTGTGGGTTCAACGCTTTATAGGTTTGGGGTATAGAAGCCTGCATAAGCTATGAATACCTGTATGCTATTCCTTAGGGTTCGTATTGTTATATGTTTATCGTAGAAGACACCCCAAAACCCTGTACTGCCGTAACAGCTCATACTATGTGTGGAGGTTGGTACTTGCGGTGACGTAGGGGTTAGCAAGGGTTGAAGAAGGATCCAAACAGTAGATCCCTTAATAAATGGGGGTTCCTATAAAGTACCCTTAGTAGTATAGGGCACCAAATCAGGGGATCTACTTTCTAGATCCTCCCGGGGGTGCCACAGGCCAACCACGAGACCCTAAGATGGTTTAGGGGGATGAAGCTTTCCATCCTTGAAAGAGTACTACGGTTGATGATATAAATCCTGCATCACCCATAATAAAGAACGTACCATAGTTCCCATAGTTTAGGGTCCTTAAGGTAGTGCAGGATTTATATCATCAACCGCCGTAAGGTCAGGGACTGGGTGTCTCAAGCTCGATGACTAAGCCAGAATCAAGTTTGTAAGCTCTGACCCCTACCTGTCGTCTCCTTTGTAGTACCTTGGAGGATCCTAGGTATAAAACTGGCTAAACCCAAACAAGAACTACGATGGAGATTGCAGTAGAGCCTTGAATTCCTAACCCTAAGGCTCAAGATGGCCCAAAAGCCTTACATAATATGGTCTTTGGGCCCACAAGCCTTTAAGTTTGAGTCCTTAGAGCCTTGAATTCCTAAGTCCTAGAACGCCAGGTGACAGGACTTACGCAGTCACCAGAGCTCAACGGCGCTGTTGGGCAGGTGCTGCCCCTGGGCAGCAGGAACCTTGAAAGGTCCAAACCCTAAAGCCTAAAGGTCTAAACCCTACAGTAAGGCCCAAAGCCCTGAACTCTATAAACTCTAAACCCTAAACCCCTAAATCCTAAAACCCTAGAACCTGAATTCGGTCTGGAGAGTCGCGGGGGGGAGGTCCTCTTTCTAGCTCAAGGTTTTGCTTTATGGTCATTTGGGAGTTTCCGAAAATAAGGGGTACCTTATTGGGGGTCCTTAAAGTACTGTAAGGATCCTACTATTTCGGGTACTATGTCCAGGGTCTTCTAAGTGATGGGTCTGGGGGGGGTACATTTATACCCGGAGCGCAAAGTCCCTTAACTGATGGGTTTCTTGTTCATGGGGCTCCGTGTGCTCTATCTGACATGTTTGGGCCATTGGCCCGAAAACCTATTCTGATGTTAGAAAGGTAGTTCAAGAATGCATCAGCATAGTTTTAGGCAGACATGTCAACGAGAACATGGCAGCAAGAGCAGCTGGTTCGTCGCGACGAAGTGACGGCTGTGGTGGAAAGCCGGTTGCTGCGGGGCTTGAGTCGCTTGCCTGCGCCTCCAGACTCGTCTTTTATGCGGCCGCGCAGCAAAACTCCCATTTACGCCACAGAGTGCCTGGATGAGGAGGAGATTCCAGAGCTTTTATTTAGGGTTCAGGGCTCTGGACACCGTGTGTAAGGCAGTTGTCTGGGCTTCACTGCCCTGCTCTCGGCCAGATTGCAGATTGTCAAACGGTGATGTGGATGGACAGCCCGAGTCCATAATATAGGAGCTTGATAATTACCAATACTATTCCTTAGAATTCCTGATTTTCTAATGTTAATATAATATACCCCGAAACCCTATTGAAATTGACTGCAAAGGCCCCTCTAGTACCTGGGCTAATGTACATCTCACAGCTTCAGGTTGAGCTTTTAAAAAGCTTTTAGGGTTTAGGCTTCAGTGTTTTAGGCTTTCGGGTGTTAGGGTTTAGGCTTTAAGTTTTTGCCGACACGTTTCACTCGAACTCCTGCTCGATGTGGGCGAAGGTCGCACGGAAGTCGAAATTCTTGCACCTGTAGTCTGCATTGTAGTTCCTTCTTTGCACTTAACAGGTGTCATAGTAAGGATCCTATAAGCTAGCCCCAAGAAGGAACCACAATGGAGACTATAGTCTAAAGTGACTATAAGTCAGGTTCAGATCTTTCCTGCAACTGCCAGAAACTTTTGCTGGTAGGCTCCTTGTAGGTTCTATGTGGCAATGTGGTGGTAGCTTAGGGTAGTCCGGTGTAGCTCAACCCCACGAACGAAATCAACGACCCGTGAGCCTGCACCCTAAAGCCGTGAAACCCTGAACCCGAGAACCCTGGCTAAGACTCTACACAAAACCCTAAACCCACAAAACTTGAAGCCCTAAAGAAGACTCCACACCCTCAACCTTTAAAGCCCTAAGCCCTCAAACCCTAAAATCCTAAAGCCGTAAAGCTATAAACCCGAAAGCCCTAAACCCTAAACCCTAAACCCTAACCCTAAACCCTAAACCCTAAACCCTAAACCCTAAACCCTAAAAACTAAACCTAAGCCCTTGAAGCCCCCAGTACTGGAAACCCCGAAACCCCAGAACTGAAGCCCCGAACTCTAAACCGCTGAACCCTAAACTCCTAAACTCTAAACCCTAAACTCCTAAACTCTAAACCCTAAACTCCTAAACTCTAAACCCTATGGAAGCCGAGGAAGTCGGATGGGGGTCAGCTTGAAGTGGCTCTGCCTGTGGGTGTGCGGATTCTCCACCAGGTTTCACCGCCCTGCCTGGGGGGGTTCTAGGGCTTTTGGGGTTCCTGTAAGGGTTCATTAAAGGGTTCTATAAAGGTTTTGGGGTTTAGGGTTTGGGGGGTTTTGGGTTTAGGGTGTCTTGGTTTGGGGTCTAGTGGTTGTAGAGTTAAAGGGGCCTTGGGGGGTCATAGGGGGGTTTGGGTTAGGTTTACAAGGGGCCCAGCAGGTGCAGAAGCTGAGGCTTGAAGGTCCACAGAGCCCAATACTCCTTGATTCAGGAATATGGCGTAAATTATAGATGGCTTCATACTTTGGTTTAAGCCATATTCCGTAATTAGGGGGTACCGGGCTCTCTGGAGGTTTAGGCTTTGCGGGTTTAAACCGTAACTAGGGCCAGGAGTTTGCTTTGGAGATTAAGGGCTGTAAGTCAGGGTTCTGAGGACCGGCTTACTTAAGGGGTCATGGGACTTAGTAACTAGGGTTATAATTAGGGTAACTATGCTTATAGTTACTTATAACCCCAGTTAGAGTACTTATAACCCTACTTACTAAGTCCCATGATCCTCCAAGTAGGTAAGGGAATTAGAGCTTGTAGGGTTTAAGGCATGAGGGTTTGGGTAGTTGGCTGTGGTGCAAAAGCTTTCTCAAAGCTGGAAGCAACATGACGTTAGGCTTGAGTGTTGGTCTCCGGCGTGAAATGCCAATGGGATACATTCGAGTAAGCTGTGAGTGATGCTGAAGTCGAAAACGCAGATTGCGTATCAGCCAAGCATTCTCAAGCATTTCTCAAGCAGTCGTAAATGACATTAAGGCGCATTGAGCCATCGAAGTAGTCGTCGTCAGGTAGCACTAATTAGTGACCACTAATGTTTGATGCTGTAATGATGGAGTGGTGGCGGCGGTGCTAGGTGGTGGCGTAGGAGCATGTAGTGAGTAGGAGCAGGAGCAGTCAGCGGCTTCGAGATCAACACCAGTTGCGCTTGATCCTCATCTGTAGCCCGACACCTTACGAACTAGTAGGTTATGATCTTGTAGCTATGGGTTGCAGCACTTACCCTGGAGGAACCCTGAAAGGAGCCCTTGAAGGAACCTCAGATTCTGGCAGGACAACGTGGTGCCCAACCACCAAGCGGTCGTTACACGCTGTGCGGCATTTCCCCTGGATCTGGAGAAGCCTGTGGCTGAGCTGCATAAAAAACCTCCAACAAAATAGTGAATCATGCCACAAAACTTGTTGAGACTGTTTGAGCCCCATACTGCAGCTGGAATTTCAGGCCTTACAGTATGATTCAGGAGCTTTGAAGCTATCTAGTCATGTACCGATATGTATCTGCCTGCAGGCATCGTTACGATCAAGAGGACTGGAGGGTGCCTATCTGAGCATTAATTGGTTCCCATCATGTTTAGGATGGTGTGTTCCTCATAACCTGGCGACATGTCGACAATACCGTCCATGTAAACTCTAAGCACCCGAACTGCCTAGATGCACCAGCCTTAGGCGTAAACCGACTAGACTAGAATTTGGTTGCAGACCTCCTTCTCCACAAACCCCGAACCTTTAGACCCATACGTCTTTTCCACGGTCCCGAAGCGGGAAATCCAGGTCAACACATCGGTTCTTCGCGTCCTGTGGTTGGAGAAGGCTTGGGTGCAGATGCAGGTCACCAGAAACTCCAGGTGCTGGTGGTTGTAGGTGTTGGTTTTTGCACTATCATCTTTCGGGGCTGGATTTGGGCTTTGTACAGATCTGCATATGATGACCACCTCACCGTCAATGACCATTATACAGGCACATCATCATTATCGCCGCCAGGACTGCTATCACTTCACTAGTAGCACCGCCCTCGTCTTCTTTGTATGGCCTTCATCATCTTCTTCATTACCTTCGCCAGCGATGATGACAAGCGGCAAGACCTCAGAGGTTGTCAAAGTCAGGGCACTCACCCAATACATGAGTGCTGACTTTATGATTTCTGTGCTTGTTGGCCTGGTGGAACTCACCCTAAACCCTAAACCGCCACCTGCGGAAGCAGGCTGCAAGTACTTCTGGTGCCCCGCCGTCGCGGGGGCCACTGCAAGCCATCGGCGACTTGGACTTCAGCATTCAGGTCAAGACAGATGTACATATACCTATATACATATGTATACATACAAGCAAGGATCCCTGTTTATGGTATTGTTGAGGTGTTGCCAAACATATTGCCTAACACGATCTCAGCTGTTGGTTGTTGGACGGCGTGGGAGTTTTGCTTCGTCTATCTACCCAAAGGCCCCAAAGTAGTTCCTTTTGGGGGTTCGTATATAGAATCCTAAAAGGTAATCCCAAAAAGGAACTACTTTGGGGCCTCTGGGTAATGTCTAACTTTGCGTCCCAGGCGCGCAGTACATGGGCATGAGCGTCTGCGGAAAGAAGGCCCGATGCGAGTTGATGTCCCCCGTAAACCTCCAACCAGTTCTATAGGTTTCTATATGTTTCGATGATTTAGGGCTTCTTATCAGTAGAGCAGGTAACCTTTAGCCTGTTCCGGGCACTACATCGCCATATACTCATAAAACTTAACCTGTAGGTTCCCCAAACTACTGTAAGGGCCTGAATGAGTTGAATAGGCTTGGGCGGTATATTATACTATACTTATACCCCCCCCAAAAGCCTATTGGAATTCTTAAGGCCCCTAGATTGCTTGACAAGTAAGTATTCATTATTCCTGACGGTTCTTTGATATAACTACTGTTTGCTTAAGAAACCCCCACAAAATAAAAATAATAATCACTATACTACCCCCATAAGGAATATATTTTTTATTTTTTTGGTGGTTCTTAAGCAAATAGTAGATAAGTATACGTAAAAGTTCGAAGCCCCGAAGTTCTCCCCACTCTGAGGCTCTGACTCTGGGGTTTAAGGTTGAAGGGTTCAGGGTTGGGTTAGGGTTGGCTTAGTACGTTTAGGGTTAGGGCTTATTAAGTTTAGGGTTGAGGGAGGGTTTATTGAGGGGTTACTAAGTTTAGCGTTTGGGGTTGAGGGTTAAGTAGTAAGTTTAGGGTTTATGGTTTTGTTGTAAGCTGTTTCCACTGTACGGAGGTGGAACTTCAGCCCTACCATACCTTGGGACCCCAATCCTTGCCTTTGGTCGGGTGTCCCCACAGATACCAGGGCCGAAACATATAAAGCCGACTTAAACCTAAAACCCGATGACTTAGCCCCAATATAGGAGCTTGAACGAGTACCAATGCTTTTCCTGAAGGTTCCGAATAAAGACTTAACAAAAAGGCACCCCCAAAGAAACCTAATCATTCTGATCATTAACTAGGGCAGCTATAGTGCACTCCAGGCCCGATACCTGAACTTTACACTTGGGCGAGATCAGACGACTCAACAAGCAAAGTTGTGCAAGTTAGCTTACAAGGTGTTAGAAGTCGTCCAAATTTCGGTTACCCTACTTACTAAGTGCCCGGATCCTTTAAATCAACTACGGGGGCTAATCCCAAAAGCCTAAACCCTACTTACTGAGTGCCCTGATCTGTCAAATCAACTACCTAGCGCTGAGCCCCTAAGCCGACACCTTCTGTTAGAAGCTAAAGCCGTTCAGGGCTTAGCATTTAAGGTTATTATGCCTACCCAGACCCCCGGGAGGATCCAAAAAGTAGATCCCTTAATGGGGATTCCTACAAAGTACCCCTTAGTAGTATAGGGCCCCAAATTAGAGGAACTACTTTCCAGATCCTCCCGGGGGTCTGGATATACAAAGCTCGAACATCTTGTACCCCATGGTCACAGACTAAACCCTAAACCCTAAACCCTAAAACCCTAAACCCCTAAACCCTAAACCCTAAACCGTGGCTCTGCGTGCTGACCCAAGCACCGAAGCCCCTGACTCCGGAAACCCCGCCCTAAAGTTGTTTAGGCTTGTAAGGTGTTTGCAGGCATTTGAGGTGTATCGGGTTTCGGGTTTAGGGTGAAATTGTCAGGGTTTTAAGGGTTGTGTGGTCGAGGGTAGGTTTTATGGGGCATGGCCAGCTGAAAAAGGCAGAGATTCGATCCCCGACTGCCGTTCGCATCCCGACAGCCGACATCACCGCCCAGACTGCTAAACGATGGTGGGAGCACCATGCTTGCTACTTACATTACATTGTAACCCTTAAAGGACCCCGTCAAAAGAACCTTGGAGGAGCTTCGACACTGCAGCGAGTGTGGGTAAGAAAGTGGTGAGGGCAAGAATGAACAGGCCAAGGACAACGGAGGCGGCACCACCTCCTAGCACTACGGTTGATGATATAAATCCTGCGTTAAGCATCATAAGGAGTATAACATAATTCCCATAGTCTGCGGTCATTGAGGTAATGCAGGATTTATGTCATCATCCGTATGGCTTATGGGGTTTGGGTTCGCGGGTTGTGAGTTTGAAAAACGGAACCAGAACGAATCCACACCAATCTTAGACCGAATTGGCAGGTGACTGCGAATTTGGAGGTGATGCTTCTGTCTGTTGCCTGGCCGTCGGGTCTTTGATAGACCAGATGTAGTACACCAGCCCATGGCTGTTTGGAGCTGGTGAGTCCTCTGCAGAGTGAGTGACGAGCGAGTGAGCGTCGGACCCCCCGGCCTTTTGAGTACCCGACGTCGTGCACCAGCCGAGCGGCCCAAGCGCCTCTGCAGTTTAGGGTCTAGGGTGTCTGGGGTTTAGGGTTTTGGGTTTAAGGTTTAGGGTTTAGGGTTTAGGGTTTAGGGTTTAGGACGACGTCGGGTCAAGAAACGCCCAGCAGGTGAAGGGGAGGGTTTTGTTTACTCTGTGGGGCCCCGGCGCCGCTCACTCACGCTGACGGGCTCGGGCCGCCATCTTCTGGTGGGCTACTGTTGATGATATAAATCCTGCATTATCTTAAGGACCCTAAACCATGGGAATTATGGTATATTCCTTATTATGGGTAATGCAGGGTTTATATCATCAACCGTATGTCGGATCAAAATGGCGCGTCGGATTGCACACCGTCGCTCGGAGATCAAGAAGCTTCTACGGTCAAGTGGTAGGGGCCCAGGAGCAAGCAAAGCAGCGGAAGTTAGGGTTTAGGGTTTAGGGTTTCCAAAACAAAACAATCTTAGCCCTGGCCCTTTTAGATTTTGAACCACCTGAAACCTTCATTCCTAACCTCTAGAAACCCTAAAGCCTTCAGTCCCAAAGCCCTAAATCCCTAACCCCAAACCCTGAAGCCCTGACCCCTATAAACCCTAAAGCCCTAAGCCCCCAAAGCCCTACTTGGAGGTTCATGAGTAGTTATAAGTAGGGTTATAGGTAGGATAACTACAGATATAACCCATATTTGGGGACTTATAACCCCACTTATAACTACCCATGAACCTCCAAGTCAACCCCAAAGAAAGCCCCAGAAGTAGCGATGGGAAGGCTGTCTCCCTCGGAGAGCTCCGGAACTTCCTCTGGAACCTCCACCTGGATGACAGCCAGTTCGCAAAGGCATCGGATTTAGGGTTTATAGGGTTATAGTAAACCCTATAAAGTTGGCCAAATAGTGCTGGAATTCCTTATACATTACTCTTAAGGAATGAGGCTATCGGGTTTCCAACTTTGTGTTCCGAGGCAGGGGAAAAGGAGAAGCAAGGGGCAGGGGTAGGGGTTGGGGCCGAGGTTTTGGTCTTCTACTGTATTGGGTCTGGGACATGAGGGATTTAAGGTATTGGGTTTCTTGGGGCTCCACCTGGATGACAGCTAGCTCGCAAAGGCGTCCGAACCAGACTTTCGCAATTTCCGCAAAACCCGGTTCACGCCCCCTTGTATGAGGAGGATTTGGGTTTCGGGCTAAGTCGGAGATGGCAGCCAGTTCGCAAAGGCGCACGAAGTTTAGGGTTCGAGGGCTTTAGGTGGGGTTTAGGGTTTAGGGTTTAGGGTTTAGGGTTTAGGGTTTAGGGTTTACGGTTTACAGTTATAGGGTTACATATGGGGTTTGGGTTTTGGGGTTTGTGGGTTTAGGTTAAGCATGGGGTTTTAGGGCTCCGCCTGCATGACAGCCAGTTCCCAAAGGCACCTAAACCAGATTTACAATATTTCACCAAAGCCCTGTTAAGCCTCCCGCTATGAGTAGATTGGGGTTTAGGTTTTGTTGTTTAGGGTTTAGATTCATCGGGTTCGTAGCTTACAGGGCATACACGGTTTATAGTTTAGGATGTTTTGTTGTTTCAGGCCTTGGTGGGCCAAGCCAGACCTGTGTTGTCTGCATAGTTTCAGTGTTTATCCTTCAGAGGTTTCGAGAATCTTTGTTAACGGATTGTGTCTTCATGGGTCGTAAGACTGGCTGGGCCCCTTCAAACACTTCTTGAGGATATCATCCTGTTCTTGGGAGCTTCACAACCTGCGAGACCCTTCTTGTAGTGGAGACTGCTAGCCGTAGAACTAGAACCCTTACCATACTACATGGGTACCCTGCTTTTCTGATATGCCCTATGTCTCTTTGAACTTGGAGCAGCTGTTTCAGGCTTTAAGGTTTCACGGGCTACCACGAGACCCTAAACCCTAAAACCCCGAAGTATCAACCCAAGCCCGAGTTTTGGCTTAGATAGTGAACGGGGGAACTTTACACTTCTCGGCCTTATATATTGGCTCTATCTTACAAAGTTTGAACTTTTTGGGGCTCGGCTGTTGAAGAGAGAGTTGACAGTGTCGAAGATTCTTCGACGAAAACCGGGCACTTAACACTCAGATGTGTGCTGCCGAAACCGTGCCTCCTTGCGCCTGACACCACCCCGAAATGCAGTGTGCCATAAACCTCGGAACTCTAAATCATTGAAACTCTAAACCCCAAGCTCTAACGTTTAGAGTTTTCAAATCTATTATACAAAGAGCTCCAAATACCACCCCACCGCGAGAGGTGAGCAAGCGCTTCGCACCTAAAGGTACCTACGTCGACTACGCTGAGGTGGCTCACTTGAGTTCCGAGGCTTCAGTAGTCTATGTATCCAGGTTTAGGATTTAGCGCTTAGAGGTATTCATCTCTTTGAACCCTGAACCCTAAACCCTAAACTGTAGCTAAAGCTCATGGTTCTGATTTTCTCACTGATTTAGGGTTTCTGGTTTCGTTGGAGGTTCGCTTTTGAACACTCTCAACTTGCAATCAAAAACTCAACACCCCATGTAGACAATTCAATCCAAGGGTGAACCCTGCACTTGCTGGCTTATATCATAAACTGTAGGGTTCTACGTAAACCCCACCCGTAACTTCGCCAGACCCTAAGCCCTGAGGCCCTTGGCCTAAAGTCACACTTTTCCGGTCTCTGTACCGGCTTGGTACACCGGCCAAGGTCGCTTCTTCGGTGATTTTTCTAAGTCGCAACTTTGAAGCTGCGGTGGATTACCATCTTTGAAAGCTTAACCTGGGAACTCAGCTACTATGCATTAAAGATGAGGCCCTTTTCCGAACAGGACAAGAGCCAGCAAAGATGTTGGAACCTCACAAGGAGTCCAAGGTTTCTGCCAACTTATAGGGAAGCGACTGCAGTTCTGAAACTAATCTAGTGGCCGGAGTAACGAACATCTCCATACAGCTCCTTATGCCCCAAAAACCTGTTCTAAGTATTAAGGAAGAAGCTCTTATCCTAAACGCGTAAAGGAAGCCTTCAAAGAACCATTTTCTAATCGCTAGATTCCGTATTTTACAGGATATAAACCCTAAACCTTACGGCCCTGAACCCTATCTCACCCTATGCCAATCCTCCAAGGCTCTAAACCCTAAGCCACAGGTGCTCTACCTCCTCGGTCGCCCTCATCTGCAGTTCCCAAATGTTCCCGTGGATGCCCTCATCTACGAAGCCGCCGTGGCCTCGAGCTTTTTAGAGCACTTAGAACATTTAGGCTATGTAGGGTATTTGTGGTGTTTAGGATGGTTAAGATTTTCTTTGTTGAACATTTAGGGTGTTGGGGGGTGCGGCGGCTGTTGAGGAGATAGACGGTTTTGGATATTTAGAGTATTTACTGATTAGGGTTTCAGAGGCATACCTTACGGAGGCCAGAAGCCGGATTAAACCCCTCAACCCTAAACCCCTGACGTTAAGCCCGAAGCGCTGAACCTCCGTGTTTGGGACTCGTGAGGCTGGGGTTGTAGGATTCACTGATAATTACCCTGGGTCTGGAACACACACACACACATCACACACACACACACACGCATGTGCATATGAATGCGTATATACAAATATACGTACATATATATATATATATATATATATGTATGTACACGATGTCTATGTCCATGTCTATGTGAATGTACGTGTACATGTACATGTATAAGCGTGTATGTGCATATATGTATACACATACGCATATAGATATATAGAGAGAGACATGTATGTGTCTGTATGTGTTTAAGTAGTTGTATGTGTATACACATACATATATATATATATATATATATATATATATAACGGCATGTTTAATGCTATGTATGTACGTATGTTTGTATGTATGCATGTATGTGGTGCTACAGACGTAATTATAAGCCTGAGAGCCCCAGATGTTTAGGGTTTCGGCCCACGTCTGGCGGTCAGGATTTCGAGTTAGCCATCACCCGAACGGCTATCAAACTCCAGCATCTTGGATTTGGGAGCCCAATAAACCCTAAACTCTTAGACCAGAATGGGGCATACATGCACTGTACACCACCCCCGCTCATAGTCCCTGTTGTACTTATACGGCCGTATGCCTAAAGCCCTACTCCAATCATTAAGGCCCCTATGTTACACGCTTATACTCACCGTGAACGCATCCCTTGACAAGAGCCCTTAAAGGAACCCTGTTCCAACTATTGCGGCCTTAAGCCCGAAACCCTAAGCCCCCGACCCTAAAACCCTTCTCCACGATTTTTTCGCAGCCATCTCTAAAACCCATCACAACCTCAACTGTAATCTTATGTTGACCTGTTTTGTACCCCTTTACAGCACACGCCCTTAAATTACAGCGAACCCAAAACCTGTACCCCGTAAACCCTACACCTTCTTGGCATCCGTCTATTTGCACCTCTATATCTGGGTCCGGTAGCGTTGGCCTCTCACCTCAAGCCATCATGCCTGAAGCGGGGGCATCAGTTACATTCGATGACGACCCTGCGCTACATTGTGCAGGCCTGCGACATTCCCGTATCCGTGTAGGCTTCTGGTCAATGCTTGTGTCGTCCTTCCCCCTGCAGATGGCGCGGGGGTGATAGCAGAAGCCGAGCAGCGTGTGTTTTGACTGATTCCCCAATTCACAACGAAGGGTTACCTCGAAGTTGTGGAGGGCCCGGGTCCCAGAGAGCCCAATACTGTACCTGACGCAGTACCCCTTAATGACGGAGGGCTCCGTAAAGGGATCTCTAGGGGTTCTATAAGGGTATGAAGGAATATGGCTTAAATTTTATAGGGCTTCATATTATGATTTAAGCTATATTCCTTAATTTTAACGCTACGCCGCCCGCCTCGGCTGTGTAGCGGCAGGGCGAGGGGGCAGTCGATGTTTTTTGATGCTAGCCTGTCAAACCCCAACCTTTACACGGTTGTTGATACGAGGAGAACGGGGCGGGTGGGGTGAGGGCGGGGGGGAGGGGGGGGGGGGGGGGGGGGGGGGGGGGGGAGGGGGGGGGGGAGGGGGGGGGGAGGGGGGGGGGGGGGGGAGAGGGGAGGCCAGCAGGTAAAATGAGGCGGGGGAGGGGTGGGAGGGGGGGGGGGAGGCCGACAAATCAGGTAAAATGAAGGGAAGCCGGGCAAGGGGGTGGCAAACGAACGCAAAAAACGGGTGTCCCCAAACATTTGGACCGCAGGGAGCTCTCTGGCAAGCTGCACAGCGTGGCGGAGCGAGTGGCGAGCTTTTCGGAGCAAAGTCTCGGCGCAGTTCTGGACAGCTTCCTATTACGCGTTTAGGGTTTAGGGTTTAGGGGTTTAGGGTTTAGGGGTTTAGGGTTCAGGGTTTTGGGGTTTGGGGTTTAGGGTTCTGGACAGCTTGGGGCTCCAGGCCGTCTCCGACGGCAAGATCTACTACGTAGTCATCAAGCACTTGTCTGGCGGGGCGAGTGGCGAACCCGGCAAGGTCTACTACGACTCCGAGCTGGCTATCCCACTCTTCTGCAGGTTGCCTTGGGGGGCCTAAACTGGGACCCTAATCTAGAGTCTAGAGAATTGCTAAACCCCCTCTACTACGGCGATCCCTTAAACCCTAAACCCTTAAACACTAAACCCTAAACCCTTAAACCCTTAAACCCTTAACCCTTAAACACTAAACCCTAAACCCCACTAAACCCTTAAACCCTAAACCCTAAACCCTTAAACCCTTAAACCCTAAACCCTAAACCCTTAAACCCTTAAACCCTAAACCCTTAAACACTAAACCCTAAACCCTTAAACCCTTAAGCCCTAAACCCTAAACCCTTAAACCCTTAAACCCTACAGAACATCACGCCCTGGTGGCGTGCTTTTTTGTGTGTTCGTGTTTTCACATGCACTCTCAGATGGCAAGCTCAGCAAACTCTTCGCTTCCCGCAGCATTGTTTTAGCAGCATACAACATTTACGACGTGTTGTGAATGGACAACAAATTCCACCAAAGCATTTAACAATGTTCGGGCATAACCGAACACCGGTCCGAGAGAGATAAAGTTATGGGACAAACTTTCAAGGACATAAGGGTATGGCCTTAAGGTGTGGCTCTAGGCCTTGGAGTATGGAGGCCTGGAGCCCTGGAGCCCTGCTGGGGGGGGGGGAAAATCGCTTGCCCCATTTTTTTTTTTTTTTTGCGCCCCCCCCCCCCCCCCCCCCGGCCCCCAGGGGCCTTCTGGACGGAGATCCGGAGGGCGCATGTCTGTAAGCAGGGGATGCCTGGGGCCTTCGGCCTTTGGCACTCCCAATCCAGTGTTGCTCAATCATTTCAGGGTTTTCAGTATGCCACGAATCGTGTCCTATCCAATGAAACATCCCTTTGTCAAGACTTTACGCTTGCTGTTGTTGTCCACCACCTAGGAAAGCGGCTCCAACACCTGAAAACTGTGACATGGCTTACTGAGTTACTGATGACACTCATACATGACAGAGGTATGATGGGTAATTCATTCTACACAGTAAAAGTATGGTGGGAATAAGCGGGACCCAAGTTCAGAAGGAGTTATTGGGCCTCGAACCCAAATGCACATGATGGTCCTAACCGTCTCAAGAGATGCTGGGTGGCGAAACCAAAACCTTAGACTGAAAGTCGTCATTGGCTTCCAACATTCTTGGACATCGTAGAAGATATTGGACCCTCACCCGGAAACTGAGACAATGCAGCAAAAATTGCAAACTACAAAATACTTGTTACACTTGAGGCGGATCATATATCATTACCTGCAAGCCAACCTTGGTATATAGGTGTTTGTACCTACATATATGTATGTATGTATGTATGTATCTATATACACGTCTGTGTATGCATGTTGGTATATGACATGCAGGCATGCATAACACACTTGCATATGGATGTGTATGTTTACATACACACATGCTCATGCAGTTTTCCATGTTCATGCTTTTCCAATTCTTATGCACACATACATATATGCTTAATACATATGTGCATACACGGGTATATACGTACATACATAAGTATCACGGAAACATGTGCAACATTTCTGAACTACGCGAGCATATGTGCATGCAACAATGAGGCATTTAGACAGCCATGCACTCAAAGGAAAATGGAGGGCCTCAGGCTCCTATCCCAAACCCCGAATGGGCATGGTGGGCACAGGATGCGGAATTTCAAATCTGTGTGGAAGCACGTCCTCCATACCTGTACATATATACATCTACATATACATGTGTATATATATATATATGTGTGTACATATATATATATATATACATATAGATATGCACGTATACAAGTTCATGCACTCTCGAAGCCTATGCGACCATATACAAGTTCGTGAACTTTGGAAGCCCATGCATGCGCACACACATGTATATGCATATATCTATAATTATATATGCATATATACATAGGTTTTTTTGTGATATACATGCAAGTACCTGGGTATGTAACCGTAAGGCCACTCTGCAGTTGCACACACGATGTAAATTGGAACCTTGCAAGCATATTATGGGTGGATGACACATGTATACATACATACACACACATATAGCTTTGTGTGCATCACGGAAATGGGTAATTACATTGTCTTTGGGACTTACATGGAAGTGGGTGGATGATGGCGAATAACAAGTCTTCAATAGAATAACTGATTAACATGCCCTATTACACCGTAAGCTAATCCTTAAAAGGTGTGGCCCACCCAGCCAGAAATGCAAATCACAGTAGGGGATGCTGGGAGACCACCAGAATAAAAACCACAGTCTGAACACTTTGGCACATATCACGGGCTACACTTATCCACGAAAGATATATAGTGTGTAGCGAACCTAAGTACCGAAAAGGATGACGTGTGTCCAGAGCATCCAAACTCTACTGGAAGACATTCGGCTGAAACGCAATGCCGCACATGGATGTAATGAGCCAAACCCCCGTAGAAATTTGATGAGTGGCGGAACCACAACTGGATCCTCAAATCGATGACTGTTTTCCCAAATACAGGCAGACTAGAAGATGTTGCACTCTCAATCCAAGGCTTCAATAGTAGATGATGGGTAGCAAACCCAAAAACTCTTTCAAAGGCGGCAAACCCCTCAGAGCTTTATAAGTGTAGGAGTGTAGACATTCCTTTCGCCACGGCTTCAGATGCGGTTGTACACATCGATGACGGTCTGCCTGTCAATATAGTCTTTTAGCATTTATGCTGCAACCCACGCCACAATTTCATTCCCTAGTTGAAGACATGATATATACAATAAGTTACAGGTCAACATTCGTATGCACATGTAAATATACACATTTCCATAAACACGCATTCACTAAAG